CTTTTTAACATTTCTGCTAAAGCCAGATAATTTCGTTCCAACATTTTTTTAATACTCATCATTTTAGAAAACATTCCTAAATAGAATTTTTGAAACTTTCTCCAATCTTCATCCAACGTCTCTTCCTCCTGGTCCCGGGTTTTGTCAGTCCTTTCTATCCCATCCATCTAGTTCATTAACCTGGTAACCTTATGTCCGAGGCCCTTAAGTCTCTTCCATGTCCCTTCCGCAGATCTTCTTCATATTTATACCTATACTTTACTTTGTCTTCTGCTCCTTTCACTCGTGGAGACTCCAGCTTGACCGTATTTTTGTCCCTTCTCGACCGATCAGCCCCTTTTTCATAGTCCACACTGAACTCCATGTGGTATTTAAGAACATGTTTCAAGGTCCCTCCAAAATTGAGGACCCCCACAACTCCAAACTCCTCCCGGCCCAATGCCAGACTTGAAAAGTCAAAACATCCCTGCATAGGGGGGTCTATCCAGCCCCCCATCTCCAAACCAAACAAGACTCTATCTCTCCAAATCTGGCTTTTTCCAGGTTCATTCGTCAGGTCCAACCACTCATGTTCCTGCTGGGCCACGGTTCCCTCCATCTCTGCCTCTCAGGGTCCAGCCACAACCTCCTCCTTCATCTGATCTGTCAGAGCACATTCCTGAATTGATTCCTGAGTGGGTTCTATATAGATACCCACTACCTGTCCAAAATTTCTGATCACAACAGTCATCAAATCCGTCTTCTCATGTAACTGTTCCAATAAAGCACTTGTTTTACAAAAAGCACGCACCAGAGCCTCTGAGTACATTGTTATACAAGGTCAGAAGTCTATTCCCACGATCTTAATCTGTTGCAGCTGCGACGCTCCCCAGTTCAAGTTTAATAACAGTTTCACAAGCTCCCTCTAGGGGAAGAACTTCTATTTGTATCCAACTCTTTTCTTCTTTTTTTTAACAGCAGATCTAACAACAAAGTTTCCTTTTTCAGATATTTTGTCAATATTTGTTCCTTTAAAGTGCGAAAGAGGACAATGGAAGCACTATGTTTCTCTTCTTTTAACTGTCTGTCAAAAACATTTGTCTATAGTCAATGAACTTTCCCAAAAACGTCTGTCCTGACACCCTGCTCCCAGGTTCAAGACGGTGGAAAATTACTTTTCTTACACTCTCTTCTGCAGGTTTAAGCAATCCGGAAAAAATCCCCCCTCTTCTCCTGCTTCCGAAGGGGGTTCAGTAATTTTAAATGATGAAAGTTGATCCTTTACAAACGATTTTCTACACTCTAGTTTGCCATGTCTTTGCTTTAATCTATCTACAAGAAACGGAAGGCTGACTTCCTGTTTAGACCTTCCCACTTCAGTGCCAAATTAAGAGGAATTTCTTAATCCAATTTTCCGTTCTACTCACAGATCGTTGTTTAAAGTCCAATTGTCCAAATTTAATCTGCTCACGGGTAGTTGTTTTTGTAGCCAAATTGTCCCAGGAAAAAGGTAGTGCTCTCCGGCAACGGCTGTGCAGCTTCGCTCCATGGAAGAAGCAGTTGACTCTCAGCACCACGCCACTAACCCCTCTTTGCTCCGGAGCCCGTAATTGGGTTCCTTTACGAATTGGGGGGGCGCAAAAGGTGCCCGCCGAGTCCCATGGTCACAGGCTTCATCCGCCTGTGATTTTTTAGAGGGTCCCCGCTTCGCCGTAGCGGAACAGACCCGTTTCCCGTGGAGCCAGTCCCTCCGGATCAGAGGGAATCCGCCATTACCGATGGCGCCACCCCGAAAGTCCCCCGCTCAGACAATCTGGAGCATTTCACTGGATCAGCTCTGTAGACCAATATGGTCTCAAATTATTTCCTGAAATCACAAGCACTTAAGAGAACCTTCTCATCAAAATAATATGTCCCCTAACAAGGTAAATATACAGATCCTTCTTCAGTAAATACCACTGGAGATTATTTTACCTTCTGAATTCTGTATTATACTTTTGTTTCTAACACTTAACTGTTTGGCTTGGAAAACAGTAAGAGGACACTAAGGGTAACTCCAAGCATATTATGACAACAAACACAAATCCCAAGGGGAGTAAAAATGCAAGCCCAACACATTCTCAAACACAACCCCTTGTTTACCTTGTTTACAATTTGCTACAATCCTTTAAAGCAATGCTGATCTATGAAGTCATGTGTCACGTGTAAATTAAAGCAGTCAGGTTAATTGTTCCCCTAATTCTGCTGACGCACACAGCATTGCACTCACTGGTACTGTCACAGAACTTTACTAATAAATGAATGAATAAAATATATGCATCAGGATCATAGGGTTGTTGTTGTTTTTTAAAGTAATGCATGCTTGAGTGCTGTATTTTGAAAAGAAAAACAACAACATTCTGAAGCAGAAGAATGACTACTAATTTCCAATTAAGACTTCTAAAATAACTATAATCTATACTTCTCTATGTGTGTGGAGTTAGATATGCTGGCTACATCATTCATTTCAGAGGAACGCATGCATGGGGCTGCCCACTTCACTGAAAGGAAAGGGAATGACTTCCCTTGTCATGTGGGGAGCTGTCTTTGTATATCAGCCTCCATGACTGTAAACAATTAGCAGTAGGTCATACAGGTTGTAAGAGCTCTGCCTTTCTCTCTCACACACCATAAACATAAACGCGTCCATAGTGTACACCACATATATATGAACACAGCACATACACCTACACAGTGTAAAAGTTTTCCTTACCACTTTGGCGACTTTAGGGGAAGCGAGTTTGCTCTTTTATGAAGAGCACACATTGGACTCTGGTTTGACAGAAGAATGACTGGCCATGGGGTACACACATTTCTTTTGACCGAACACAAAACTCTGTTTATACAGGGGGTTTTTAAGCACCACAAAACCCTGCAGAAGCATACAAAAGTGGAATAAAGGCACAAGCCACTTACCATAGCTCTTGTCATTTCATATCCCAACAATGTTTAACTCCCTGGAAAAAACACAATAATCTTCCTCCAACTGTAGACATTACAAAGAGAATTTTATTTAAAAGCTTGTTTCCACATACAGCATAATAGGATTTTTCTTTTCCTGTAAAGATGCTTTTGCTAAATACTGCAGACCTGGTAGTTCATATAGCCAGCCATATGGTCGGGGTGTGTGTGTTTTAAATGCTGAACTACTGTACCATTAGAATAGGCACGCTCAAGATTCATAAAACCAGGCTCATAAAATAGATGCAGTCAAAAGAGTGTAGCATGGAAGTGTTTCAATGAAAACATCATTTTTTGCCATGCCAAATTCATTGCATCAAAGCCCTTTTAAAAAGTCTTTCAGCTGGGAACCGTTGTATATATTGACATCTACCCTAAAAGAACCTCATACCAACGCCAATTGCACAAGGGTATTGTTCACATGAAGTAACTATATCTATATGCTGTCAAGCAACTGGTCATAAAAGACTGAATAAAAGGTATTTGAAATACGATACAACTGAAAAGGCCACAGCTGATTTTTTAAAAATATTCTCAGACAGTTAAAAAAAACATTTCAGACAAAGAATTTATGTGCTGCTGTATGTGATTTGATTTCTACAAAGTAGTGTGAAATACTGTAGCAAAAAAACTGTTTACAAACTTACATTAAATACAATAGCCAACAGATTCCAAATATGTCTGAATTCTACCCTGAAATTTCATACTGCAACTGTGCATGCTACATATCTTAAACATTTCAGGCTTCTAAAGTCTCACAGAGATGAAGAGTAAAGCCACTATAACATTTATACTTTTAGTCCTAAAGCACAAACAGTATCACAATATTAATTTTCAAAAACTGGATTAAATATTTTTCAGAGCTTGACTAATTTCTGCAAGTATATTAGCATCCAGCATTTGCAAATTCCACTGTCTCTCTAGGGTTAAAACTTCAGCAAAATGATTGGCAAGGTAAGGCACTTTTTTTGGGGGGGGGGGCGTTTTGTTCAGCATTTAATCCTTATGAGAAATATTGTTCTTTCATATGTATCATGCAGTACAATCCTGTGTATGACTTTTCAGAGGTAAGACCTAAGACCCATTGGCTATTCCTATACACACTTGGTGTATAGGATTGCAGTATATATAGGATTGCAGATTTTAAAGCTCTGACCATTCTTTGTGCAGAAATGCCCTGCTTCAGTAAGATGTGCCTGGCTTTCTTTTGCATAAGCCCACCATAATTTTGCATATTTTTTTCTATGTCAGGGATGTGCATCCCGTAGCTCTATATATGCTGTTGGATTTCAACTCCCATCAGCCCCAACTGTTGGTTTACAACTCCCATCAGCTTGGCAAATGGTCAGGGATGTTGAGATTTGTAGTCCAACAACATCTGGAGAGCCACAGGTTTCCCCATCCCTAGTCTGTGTGTGAAGGTTGAGAGCTACTGCCTATTAAAGACTGGGCAGTGGATCTTTAAAACCAAATTTCCATCCATCACTAGATGATGCTGGGGCAAATGCGAGATGCAGATTCCCCTAAACAGTAGCAGGAAAGGGACTGTTTTCTCAGCGTTAGAGCATGCACTTTGCATTCAGAAGGTCTCAGGTTCAATCCCCTGACATATATACTTTATTTATTTTTTTATAAGATATTTATTAGGATTTTCAAAATATTACAAAATAGAAAAAGAAAAAAGAAAAATACAAAATAAAAATAGTTAAAAACATTTCAGTCTTTCAATCACTTATCTTTCATTTGCTTGTTTCCCAGACCTCCTCACGCCTCCCTTTTCTGTATTCCACTTCAATTGTTAGTTTAGCAAATCCCTCCCCTCTTTGTTTATCCTAGTCTTCGATCTTAAAGTATTATAACATTAAATTTTTACCTATTAATAGTTCATTTTTTCATATTCCCTTATAACATTACAGCTAAAAGCCATTTAGTTTCTATCCAACATCATTCTAACATTCATCAATTTTACAATATTTCTGTAAATAGTCTTTGAACTTTTTCCAATCTTCTTCCACTGACTCTTCTCCCTGGTCTCGGATTCTGCCAGTCATTTCCGCCAATTCCATATAGTCCATCACCTTCATCTGCCATTCTTCCAGAGTGGGTAGGTATTGTGTCTTCCAGTACTTTGCAATAAGTGTTCTTGCTGCTGTTGTGGCATACATAAAGAAAGTTCTATCCTTCTTTGGCACCAATTGGCCGACTATGCCCAACAGGAAGGCCTCTGGTTTCTTTAGAAAGGTATATTTAAATACCTTTTTCAATTCATTATAGATCATCTCCCAGAAAGCCTTAATCCTTGGGCACGTCCACCAAAGGTGAAAGAATGTACCTTCGTTTTCTTTACATTTCCAACATTTATTATCGGGCAAATGATAGATTTTTGCAAGCTTGACTGGTGTCATGTACCACCTGTATATCACTTTCATAATATTCTCTCTTAGGGCATTGCATGCCGTAAATTTCATACCTGTGGTCCACAACTGTTCCCAGTCAGCAAACATAATATTATGTCCAACATCTTGTGCCCATTTAATCATAGCAGATTTCACCGTTTCATCCTGAGTATTCCATTTCAACAGCAAGTTATACATCTTTGACAAAATCTTAGTTTTGGGTTCTAACAGTTCTGTTTCTAGTTTTGATTTTTCCACCTGGAAGCCAATTTTCTTATCCAAATTATATGCCTCCATTATCTGATAATAATGAAGCCAGTCTCACACTTTATCTTTTAATTTCTCAAAACTCTGCAATTTCAATTTGTCTCCTTCTTGTTCCAAAATTTCCCAATATTTCGGCCATTTGGCCTCCATATTGAGCCTTTTCTGAGCCTTTGCTTCCATTGGTGACAACCACCTTGGGGTTTTATTTTCAAGTAAGTCCTTATATCTTATCCAGACATTTAACAATGCTTTCCTAACAATATGGTTTTTAAATGCTTTATGTGCTTTAACCTTGTCATACCACAAATATGCATGCCACCCAAAAACATTATTGAAACCTTCTAAATCCAAAATGTCTGTGTTCTCAAGAAGCAGCCATTCTTTCAACCAGCAGAATGCTGCTGATTCATAATAAAGTTTGAGGTCTGGCAGGGCAAATCCACCTCTGTCCTTTGCATCAGTTAATATTTTAAATTTTATTCTGGGCTTCTTGCCCTGCCAGACAAATCTAGAAATATCTCTCTGCCACTTCTTGAAACAGTCCATTTTGTCCAAGATTTGCAATGATTGAAACAAAAATAACATTCTTGGCAATACATTCATCTTTATCTGACATATATACTTTAAAAAGGATCAGGTAGTAGGGGATGTGAAGAACTTCTGTCTGAGAACTTGGAGAACCATTGACAGTTGAAGCAGTGGAGGAGGAAGGGGTGCAGGGTGTGTGTCCTGCGTGTCATCACTGGGGGGGGGGGGACAAAATGAGTTTTTTAAAAAATAGGGCTCATGAAACTTTTTAGGAGTGACGTGTTAGGTGCCTACAGGTTCCCCGCTGCCTAAAATGGCAGTGTGGGACTTGTGTCTGCCTACTGCCTCTCTCTCAGCCACCCTACAGGTGAGGGGAAGGCGTCAGAGAGGCTCCAAGCATTGAAGAGGCTCAATCCGCCCCCATGGGAGCAGATTGCCCTGCCCCTGGCTGCAGGACACGCCCCCACACCAGGCACCCAATCGGCTAGCTACACCACTGAGTTGAAGTAGACAAAACTGGGCATGATTGGACATAGGGTGCTGATTGATACAAGGCCAGAGTCTATGTTCAAAATGGAAACTATGGCACTCCTGATTTGTAGCTCAAAAATTATTCTTGAGGCAGAATTACCATAAGACAAAAATAGCTGATAGCTGTCAATTGTGATAAAGGGTAAGTAGCCAAGCCGGGCTAAACTCAGAATGGATCCACCAGGAGCCTGACAAAGCTACTGTGAGCTGAAATGTGCATGTAAAATGGCTCCGTTGAGACAGGGCATGCAAAGTACTCTTTGCAGAGGACCACAAATGCACCTACCAGCTACAAATATGTACTGGTGGAACCTACCCAGTCCAATGTCATAGACAGCCAATGGCTCATCTCTGGCCTTGCAATGATACGGACTCAGAGGCAGGAAGATGTCTCTCTGCTTCCGACTGCCCCTGACACTCAGAACACAAAGAGCCACTTCACATATTGGCTGAAGTTGTGGGTGGCAGAGGGCGTGGCTGCTGCATGCATTGATAGGAGACTAGCCCATAGAGGAGATGTGGGGCTAGTCCACTGGCCCTCCAGATGTTGCTGAACTAAAAACCCCATGATTCCAGCAAGGCAGAAATGATCAGAGCTGTAATTCAGCAACATGGGGGGGGGGGAGTTCCCCACCCCGGGCTCATCCATACAGCCCTGCAATGTCTGCATACATTCTATCAATCCATGGGTGCAATCCATCTGAACTTCCTGTAAACTCTGCAATGCTCCTATCAGATGAATAGAATGATAAATATTTACTTAAGAATAGCTATATTTTTATGCTATTTTCATGTACCAACACGGCATCCTCTAGAATGCTTGTCAATCGTACCCAGTGAGTGGACAGAATTAATTTCAGTCCCATATATTCTTTTTATGTTGAATTGCACAGCAGAAACAAAACCAAACCAAAAATTTTAGCTCATTACAAGGTTTCAACCAGCAGTCGAGATCAGTAAAAATAATGCCAATATATAAATCTGCAGTCTGTTAAAATATATAATATTCTGTACAATCTTGGTCATTCCATTCAAACGAAAATAGAGATTTTTCTTAATGCAGAAATTCAACTAAAATTATCAAGGTGTTTAGCACACTTTTCTATAAAGGAAGGCTGCAGAGTTTGAGCTGTTTTAGATTAGAATAAAATGATGACAGGCTTATAAAATTATGAATGGTTGCAGAGACAGCAATGGGGGGATTCTTACATCTATCAATACAGTACTTAAACATCGGGACTCCCAATTAAGTTAAGCTGATTTGATATCATTCATGGGGAAGGTTCAGATGGAATGTTTCCCGTCCTCCAAATCATGGCTAGGAGGATCAGGAATGAGCTCTGTGCTTGAACTAGGGATGCATGCTGGAACCACGAGATATGATTCAGAACCCAATTTGCAAGTTCAGGAAATCCAGTACTGCCAAACTATAGTTTAGTGCCAGGGTGGGGAACCTTTGGCCTTCCAGATGTTTGTGAACTACAACTCCCATCAGCCCCAGCAAGCATGGCCAATTATAGGAGCTGTAGTTCAAAGGTTCTCCACAGCTGACTGAATGCATGGATAGACAATGTAGTACATTCCAGGTGTTGCTTGACCTTGACCATTGGCCATGCTGGTGGGGGCTGATGGGAGTTGTAGTCCTCCAATATCTGGAAGGCACTATATTCTGTCCCAGCTCAACCAATGTGTGTAAGGTAGGTTTGGGGTTTTTTTAAAAAAAATAATTTAGCAGAAAGAAAATTCTATACAAGTATTAAGCTCATGAGCCAAACTGACAATTTAAAATGAAACTAACAGCATTTCCATAGAGTTTTTACTGTATAAACAACATGGAAAGAGACCCCCTTAATGACATTTAATTATATATTCCTTTGGATTTCAAGCACTGATAACATTTTGTTCAAGTATCTGAAGTTTTCATCTTATAAGTGCTATAATTTTTCAGTCAAAAGTTGTCTCTTTCAAAATTTATCTCATTATATTTTATCATAACATCCAGTCGTGTTGCTGAAGGTCATTTTGTGTTCTGCTTCTGGCTGTTTTCACTGAAGAATTACAACCCTGTAGCTTGTAAGAAATCAAAAGGGTTAGCTGCCAGAAGAAGGGGGGAAACCCTCTGGTTTTATAAATTGGTATTCTAAAGAAATGGCTCCCTACTCCCCCTCTACTGCACTATGAATGGGAGATGACAACGAAGAATAAGAAACAGAAAATCATTCACTTTGTATTTTATGAATGTGTGTTGAGATGTAAAGAGCTGCATGAATTAGACAAAACCAATGGTCACATTACATATTGTTTATTTATATCATTTCCAAGGAGGTAGTGAGTCTACCAGTTGGCTGTGGGGAATCTGTGGCCTTCCAGCTGTTGTCAAACATCAAATTCTGTCGGCTACAGCTTGCATGTCCAGTGGTCCAGGATGATGGAAGGCCATGGGTACCCCATCCCTGACGTAAGTGGTGGAAGGACAGTGAGGAAAAACTGCTTGACCCCTTTCCCTCCCAGCTCAAAAATTATCTTTCCCAATATTCTTTTTCTTGCTATTTAGAAGTGATCTTTCAGCTCCTAGATGAAATAGCAGCCTTCAGCCAATGGGATTCAGATTTTTATTTTATTATGAGCTCCTGGGTGCTGGCCCAAGGGATCATGTTACACTGATCTGGTGGCAGCTGCACAGGTTACCAGTTTGCTTCTGGACACACTATAAAGCCTTAAATGGTTTGTGCCCATGAAACAGAAGGAATTCCCTCCTTTTTTTTTTTAAATGCTATTTATTAAAGTTTCAAAGAAAAGATTACATAGGTAAACAGAAAAGAAAAAGGAAAAGAAATAAAAAAGAAAAAATTACAAAATACAAAATACAGAAAAAAGATAAAAAACACTTAAAAGAAAAACACATCGATCTTTCCATAACTTACATTTCATTTCCTTACTTCCCTGACTTCCTCACACCTCCCTTTTTTGTATTCCAGTTCTATTAGTTAATTCAGCAATTCCTTTCCCTCTTTGTTTTTATCTTAATCCTTTAACTTAACATATTATAACTTTAGATTCTCAACTGTTAACAATCCATTTGTGCATACACCTTTATAACATTGCTGCTAAGACCACTTAATTTCATTCTGACATCATTCTAACATTCATTAATTTTGCAGTATTTCTGTAAATAGTCTTTAAATTTCTTCCAATCTTCTTCCACCGACTCTTCTCCCTGGTCTCGGATTCTGCCAGTCATTTCCGCCAGTTCCATATAGTCCATCACCTTCATCTGCCATTCTTCCAGAGTGGGTAAATCTTGTGTCTTCCAATACTTTGCAATAAGTATTCTTGCTGCTGTTGTAGCATACATAAAGAAAGTTCTGTCCTTCTTTGGCACCAATTGGCCGACTATGCCCAGGAGAAAGGCCTCTGGTTTCTTCAGGAAGGTATATTTAAATACCTTTTTCATTTCATTATAGATCATCTCCCAGAAAGCCTTAATCCTTGGGCATGTCCACCAAAGGTGAAAGAATGTACCTTCAGTTTCTTTACATTTCCAACATTTATTATCGGGCAAATGATAGATTTTTGCAAGCTTGACTGGTGTCATGTACCACCTATATATCATTTTCATAATATTCTCTCTTAAGGCATTACATGCCATAAACTTCATAACTGTGGTCCATAACTGTTCCCAGTCAGCCATCATTATGTTATGTCCGACATCTTGTGCCCATTTAATCATAGCAGATTTCACCATTTCATCCTGAGTATTCCATTTCAACAGCAAGTTATACATTCTTGACAGATTCTTAGTTTTGGGTTCTAACAGTTCTGTTTCTAATTTTGATTTTTCCACCTGGAAGCCAATTTTCTTGTCCAAATTATATGCCTCCATTATCTGATAATAATGAAGCCAATCTCGCACTTTATTTTTTAGTTTTTCAAAACTCTGCAGTTTCAATCTGTCTCCCTCTTGTTCCAGAATTTCCCAATATTTTGGCCGGAATTCCCTCCTTCCATACCATCATGCCTGTTCCCAAAGGCTACAAGGTCCTTCTCTGTGTCCTGCATGGAGTAGAGGCCTGGGTGGGTGAGAGGAGAGAGGGGATCTTCTCAGTGGTTGCCCCAAAATTATGGAACACTTGAAGGGCCCCATGAAGTGCCTTTCCTCACTGTTTTTTCACTAGTTATTGCAAACCATTCTATTCCAGCAGGTGAAAAACAATAAATGTTATGATTGTTTTAACTGCTTCCTTTTATAATTGTTTTATATTGTTTTTAATGAAATGGTTATTTCATATGATGTAACCTGCCCTGAGTGGTGCATTTATGCCAAAAAGGTGTAATTAAAAATGTCCAATAAATAAATAAAAATCTGCCCTTCTTCAAGCCCCTTTCTCTTACTTTCTGCCTCCACCACAATTGTGAAAAAGGTAATAGGACAGAATGATAAATGTGCCCATGGTTATTACAACTGATCCATAGTTCTGTTTGGGGTACTGATCCACCAGCTGAAAAGCAGTGAAAGAAAAATGGATTCTCAGGTGACAACTTTGGCCTGTGGTAACTTTGACCAACTTTGGACAGGTGTGGCAACTACATTTTCAGATACAAGACAAGACCACTTTGAGGAACTCAAGATTAGACTATGGGTTGTATTTTATTATTTTAATTGTCTATCGTACTTTTTTTATAACCTGCCCAGGAACCATTTTTGTGAAGAATGGGCTGTAAGTACAAAGTACCAACAGGAAGCAACAAGAGGCTTCTTATTAGGAATTATTCCTTCATAAAGGAAAGGGTTACAGAAATTAACACCTGAGCAACATGCTTAGGTGGTGACATTTGCATGCAAGCACCAAAACCCATAATCAATTTCAGGTTGAACTAATGAAAATAATAATGAATATTCTACCTTCACTGTTGGTAATCACAAGGGGAATAAGGATGATGGTTTTTGTACTCTGCCCATGTGAATGGGTTGCTTCAGCTGCTTCTAGGCAGCTTCCAACAGAATATACAAAAACACAACAGCACAGCACACATTAAAGGCTTCCCGATACAGGAGAGCACCCAGGTTCTGCTTGCAAGCTTCCCATAAGCGTCTGGTTGGCCATTGTGAGAAAAGCATACTCACATGATCCAGCAGGGCTTTTCTTAGGTTCAGTAGGACAAGCACTGGCTCATCCTCCTTGCTGAGCTTGCCGGCAGCAGCACTCGCGGGGGAAATAGGGACATTCTGGGAAAAGCTGGAATGGTTTTCATAATTCCGGAACTGTCCTTGAAACATTGGGATGCTTGGAGGTTATGAAATCCCTGAATGGTCTATCTTGTAGAACACCTGCTCCTGTAAGAACCTCTCCTTGGTTTTACATCGACTGAGGGGGACTGGCCTCAGGGCCATTACATTAAGAGCCTCGGCTAGTCTCCTTGAGAAAGAGGGTCATCTTGGCTGCTGCCCTGGAGCTGACCAATGCCATTCCCTTGCGGCATTCTTTAGGCCAGTCAAAACACTTCTGTTTTGACATGCGTTCAGTTTCTAATTCATGTTCCCATCGCTGCTGTTCTTTTCTGCCAGTTCTCCGTTTTGTTGTTTTTCTTGGTTCCATTTGGATTGCATTGTTTTTCCTTCCCTGGATCATGTTTTGATTTATGTTACTGAAACATTTTGCAGACATGAGATGGCACAAACGAGCTAACTAAACTAAGCTGACTAGCAAGCCACCAGTTCATGTTATTTTCTTTAGCAGACAAGTGGCAAAATGCATGCTTTGCATGCAAAAGGTCTCAGGATTAACCCTTGGCATTTCCACCAGGGATGCGGTGATGCTGCCCTAACTCAAAATTATTCTAGGCATCATGAATTTAGCTATATTAACAAAGGCTGCAATCCTAATCCCATTTACCTGGCTAGGAGTAATCCTAACTGAATTCAGTAGAATTTAGTTCTGAGTAAACATGGTAGGACTGCACTGTTAGAGATAGAAATTATGCCTATCAAAAGCAAGCTAAGCGTAGCACATCACATTTAAATCAGTTTAAAGCAGGTTCAGAATGGTTTGCTCCTTTGGTCAGACTCCAGAGCCAAAAAACAACATGTTTCTTACTAAAACAACCCTCTTTAAAAGTGCAGAATTTACAAAAGAATAGCATAAATATTTTGCCATTTAGTAGGCAAACATTAGATGATCTGACCTCTCACTTAAGCTGCAGGCCTGTACATGAACCAGAGAGTAAGCTTCATTGAACTCAGTGGGACTTACTTATGAGTAGACATTTATATGATTCCACTATTAATGACTTAATTAGCTGTTCCAAACATAGCTGGACCTCTGCTGACAATGCAGCCAGACAATTCAATCAGGCCCTGTTATGGAGAATAAGTAATAAATGCTACCTTGTCGCCACACAGTCCCAACCCTGAGTACATGATGCTGGTCAAGCTAAACTTGATCACTATGCCTCATATTTCAATTAGTCGTGGTCTGAATCACTAAAACTGAATTCCTGTTATCAGATACAAAGCTTCAGACTCCCACAGTTAGAAGCAGCCGAGTTTCCTTTTATTAGTGGCCAATTAATGCCCCAAATTTGCACTGCTTTCAAAATTTATAACTTCTATCCCAGCTGCATCCATGGCTCCTTAGCGTACGGCATACAATTGGATCTGTATCACTGTCGCAAGTCAAACAGCTGCAAACTGTACTCCAGTCTGCAGGGCTGAAAAACCCTTCAATACAGAAGCTCTCCTGCTCCCCCCTCAAACCTTCTTAGAAGTTCTTTTCAAAGCCCAGCAGCACTAGCTGGTTTGTGACAATAAGCGATTTAATACAGAGAGAAAGAAATCTACACCAAGGTAACCTCTTGGGATGTGCTAGATTTTCAAACAAATGAAACCCTATCACTTTGGCAGAACACAAGAGCAAGCAAAGGCACTTCTCCTGACCAAGGCTAAGAAAATATAAGCATAAAACCCAACCCGCCTTGAGAAATTAACCTGTTGGTGTCCAGATGGAGTCGTTAAAAGATTATATTGCCTCAAATAATATTAATAATAAGTGTCTTAAAGTAAACTTTTTCAATTAGGAGCCTTGGAAATCCCAAGTTGTATTAATATAGTCCTATCATAATTTATTCCAAAAGGAAATTATTTATAAATTAAGATTAAAAACCCATCAAGGGTTTGTGACATAGAGTAACAAACTGGGCTGTACCCTACACACAATTTACCCAGATGTGTATCCTAATAAAAACAATGGGACATATACAAGAGCCACTTTTTAAAACCTTAATTTAGTCATCATGCAGCTCAAGAATTTGGATTTAAAAGCAAGCTCCAATTGGAGCGGCTCCTTTTGCTTGTGTGTAACACTGCAGTTCTGTTTACGCAGAAGCAAGACTCAATGAGTTCATTAGGACTTAATCCCAGGTAAGTGTGTATTGGGCTACAATCTTTTGTATGCCTTTAAATCCACACCATATTTTTACGACAACTGAATAAAGAGTGCATGATTTATGCATGTTAGAAAGAGAGCAATTTATCTTACTAGGCAGCCTGAAAGTATCATACTATCATATTTGTTTAAATAAATGAGCACACACGTGTGTGTGTGTGCCCCACCCCCAGGTCCTCAGAACACTTTACATTAAAATGCAATTAAGGCACAAGGGGCTTCTATATAGCAAATACAATTTTTTAACCAGACATCTTTAAAAAAAAAAAAAAGTGGCTTATCAACTGAAAATCTTTTTCTTTTTCTTTTTTGGTTCAAAGGAGTCCTACTTTCAGTAACCTAGTGACCTAGCAGCATTTATTTACATGAAAAGATGCAAAGACACATATACAGACACATATACAGAAAACTTTAGCGTAACAACAGAAACTACAGCTCAAATTGCCTTGTTTTCTAAATGAAGGAAATCTATGTATAACTGTACAAGATGGGTCCATTTTTGGAGATATGATCTTTCAATGTAAGCTGAGGCCAAGGGCAGCAGGCAACGGAGGGGGTGTGTTGCTTCCTCTTTGTTCATCTCACCAGCAAAAATGCGCAAGCTCATCAGCAATGTTATTTTAAATCAGCCACAGTAGTGGCTGATTGAGGGGTGGGGATGAAACAACATTCATCTGCCTTGTTTAAGCATTACAGTTCTATATGCAGGAGTGTGAAGCAAGACTTCACCAGCAGTAACATAGCAGCAGCAGAAATGTTTGTGCTTGGCTCATGCAAGCCACTTTCACGGCTCTTAGAAAGACAATAAAATCCTATTTTATAAAATTCAAACCCTAATGACAAGCATTCTTCCTAACTGCTTAAATACTGCAGTAAGACTTGTAATGCCACTGTGAAATCATAAGCTAGTGTTTCAGATGTGCTCTCTCTGTTACAAATTTAATCTTCACTGGTATGTCACAATTCATTTCATCCCAGCAGCAGAGAGATTCAGCATAAG